GCTGTACTTTGCATAAACCTCATCTTGTAGGATTTTTGCCCATTCTTCTGATGTCAATTCTGTTGAGCAGGTGATCAGAATGATCATCTTCAAGAAACGATCAACTATAATGATGATTGTGTCATAGCCATCACTTTTGGGAAGGCCTATTATCATATCCACTGAAATATGGGTCTATGGTGATGAAGAGATCTTATTTGAGTGGAGTGGTGCCACTCAGGGTTGAGTCAAGGCTTTGTCTCATTGACAAACCTTATAAGCTTTGATATATCAGATGATATCATGGTCTATTTTAGGCCACCAATATTCTCATAGTATTAGCTCCTTCATTTTAGCGATCTCTAAGTGTCCAGCTGTTGCATGATCATGACATATAGTGATGATTTCACCATGAAGTCTCTGATCCCTTAGGATATAGATCTGCCTATTATATCAGATCAATCTCCCTTCTTTCTTCAGTCCCTACTCATGATTGAGTGATGGGGCAATTCTTTGATCTCACTTGTGGAGATCCCAGATGGTGCTCTTGATGCATTCATGCATCTCTTCTTCCATGGGCATAATCATGGCACAAAAGTGTTCTGGTCATAGTAATATGACCTCCTTGATGTTATCTCCTCCTTGATCATGATCTGCCCTGTGGCTGAGGAAATTGGCCTTCTTGTTTGCTGCACCAGCCTTATAGTATAGCATGTATTCATACTGTGATAATTCTGTAACTCATCAGGCTTGTTGGCAATTGAGTTTCTGTGAGTGTCAGAAGTATTGCAGGTTCTGATGATCTGTTTAGATCTCAAAAGTCTAGACTGCTCCAATGAGATAATGCCATCATTCAGCAAGGGCAAGTATTATGGTGAGGAGTTTCTTATTGTAGATCTTGTAGTTGCATTCAGTAATAGTGAGTGCCTTTGACATAAAAGTGACTGGTTGCCATTTGCCATCCTGTTCTTGTGAAAGTATGGCTCCAATAGCATCTTTACTGGAGTCTGCTTCCACCTGGAATTTTTTATCCTGGCTTGGTATGGTCAGAATGACATCTTCAGCCAATCAGCATTTAAGATCATTAAATGCCATCTGTTGGGAAATTCCCCAGGTCCATGGGGAATTTCTGGTCAATTGCATCATAGGTCAGACAATTTTGCTATAGTCTCAGATGAACCATCAGTAGAAGTTGGTGAATCCAAGAAATGATTGCAGTTTCTTCTTCTTTGTCAGCTCTGACCACTCAGTTATTCCTGCCATCTTGACAGGGTCCATCCTGATGCTTCCTTCACTGATAATGACTCTGAGGTATTCAGTTTCCAATACCTTGAATTCATATTTCTCAGCCTTGAGGAAGAGTTGATGCTTCCTCATTAGAGCTAGTACCTGGCATACTAGCCATTGATACTCCTCTTCGGTTTTGGACATAATGAGAATGTCATCCAGATAGATTGTGACTTTTCCAGTGGCAATGAGATCCTTGAAGATATCATTCATCATCCATTGGAATGTGGTGGGCAAATTTGTGAGTCCAAAGAACATAACTGTTGGTTCAAACAAATCATGGTTTGTTTGAAAAGCAGCCTTCCATTTGTCACCTCTTTTGATGCATATATTATTGTACCCCCACTGAATGTCCAGTTTGGTGTAGTACTTGGTGTCTTAGAGTTTGTCCATTAACTCTGAGATTAAAGGAAGCAGATAACAATTCTTGATCATCATCTCATTGAGCTTCTGATAATCTTGTACTGGTCAGAGTTTGCCATCCTTCTTTTTGACAAAGAAGAAGAGAGATGCCATCAGTGATTTTGATAGTTAAATCCTTCTACTGGACAAGTTCTCCTTGAGGAACTCATCCAACTCCTGCTGTTTATTGTTGCCAAGTGGGTAGCACTTGCAATCCAGATTAGCATTTGCATTGGGAATCAATTCTATGGCATAGTCCCAGGGCTTTGATTTGGGTAATTCATCGAAACTTTCTTTTTCAAATAAGTCTCAATAGTTCTGTGCTCATTCAGGTACCATCTCTTCAAATGTCTTTTCCTCTTTCTCTGTATTGGCCTTCACTATCAGGTTATTGGTGTGGTGTATGGCATGAATGTTGATGGCCCTTTGCAGGTCTATGGCAAGGATTGTTTCCCCATCTTCTATTTCTTGGTCTCATTAGTCTTTGGGATCTGCATCTGATAATGTGAATGGAATCTTCCAGCATTGACATCATGTGAATGTAATATGTCCAGTTTTCCAGTTGATTAGCAGATTATATTGAATCAGCCAGTCATGACCAAGGAAGATTTTCTTGGTTTCTAGGTCAGTTACTGCCAAATTGATTCATTCAGAATGATCTCCAATGCTGAGTCTAAGTTTGACATATTCAGTGATTGAACCAGCTTGGTTCTTTGTTCTGTCTGCATTATAGATGAGAATCAGAGCTGCAGTTGCCCAAGTAGGAAGACTGTGCTTGTTGACAAAAGCACAGTTGATGGAGCTCCCAGTGCACCCACTATCGATTAGTATCAGGACTGTGTGGGTACTTCAAAATGTAAGTGTCTTGATTTGGATCTTGATCACTAGGTCTTGGCCTGAAGTCTTAGCCTGTCAGATGAACTTTCATGATCTGTGTAATTCATCGAGCCATTCCAAAGCTCAACACCATTCAGCCTCTCATATTCCAGTGATCATATCATCAATCACCTCCTCAGCTCAGATCTTGTGTACTCAATTCTTGAGTATGGTCTTTGCCACTTCTTCATTCTTTGCATCCTTGATGGCTCACCAAGTCCATTCAGTTTTGAATGGCTTTAGCCAGCCAGTGAGATTCTCTATCCCTGTTTGGCCCATAGACATTTGGGTCTGTTTTGGATGTTTAATTTGATGAACAGTTGATGACAATGCACCTTTGAGGCTCTCTGCCTCTCTTTGGCCCTTCATTGGCACTTGAGTTGTTGAAATCAGTTCCTTAGGCAATTCTTGTCTATGAGTAATGAGGTTGGGTATATTTGAATGCACACATAATTTAGACGTAGAGAATACTACAGAGGGATAATTGTCAGTCTGTCCAGCAGTTTGTGATCCATTACTCATGTCCTTGGCTGAATCAGTGGAATCGCTCACTGTTTGGCCTTTCCTTTGACCTCCTCAGCCTTATTGTCTTGACTGAGGTCCTGTTCTTTCTTTATCAGTTCAGCAATTTGCACCTGAATGTCTTCTTGGATGCATTTGTTCTGCTTCTGCAGACAGTTCTGTGTCATATGGCCCTTCTGGCCACAATTGAAGCACTTTCCCCTCTTCTTGAGACAATCCACATCTATCAGCTTATCCATTCCAGTGTATGTTGTGCCCATACTGGTTCACTTTTCAGCATATTGAGAAGTTGGGGCTGAGCCACCAGGCCTAGATAACATGGTCACCTGGGAGTTAGAGGGCTTTCAGCCCTGCCTCTGGTTTCTGTGTCCATCCTATAATAGGGTGAATGATTCTGCCTTCTGCTGCTGTCATTCTCACCATATGATGATAATTCTGGTCTTTCACTCATCATAGCCAACTGAAATGCTATGTTTGAGGTCTGAAATAGTCTTAAGATAGGAGGGCAGCAGTCCTCTCTTCATGTATTCAACCATTTGTCCCATGTCAGCTGTGTCCTCTCATACTCTAGCAAGTTTACTGAGTCGTTCCAACTCATTGAAGTAGTTGGTGGCCACTTTGTCACCCATCTTGTAGTCCTCTATTTTCTGCTTATAGGCTTCTTAGACAGCTGGATCTATGAACTTGTCACAGATCATTTGTTTGAATACTGGCCATAAGAGATACCAATGGTGTTGTCACATGGTTGACCAGAACATAGGGGTGAGAAGGATCCACCATGTTTTCACCTTGTTTTCCAGGTAAGTTGAGGTGTATGTCACCTTATACATGTTGAGTAGGAAGTATGAGGTGAACACTTGGAAATATTGATCGCAATCTATGAGAAATCAATCAATATCATCAGATGCCCTCTTGAAGGGGAGTGGATCACACACAAGATTTGGTTTGACATTCAAAATTTGCACTTTAGGGTCAAGAGGAGGTATTGGATTCAGGGGTTTCCCCTCTGACAGGCCCACCCATCCAGCTGGCAGACTAGAGAATGAATGAAGGGATTCATTATCAGCAATGAGACTTTCTGGCAGAGGAGGTCTCTTTCATACAATACATCCATTCTGGATAGTCCAACTCTGGGCCATAGTTTCAGGGTCATCTTTTTTTGAATCTGCTGGAGCAGCTCCACTGCCTTTGGCTTCATCAGGCAGAGGTTGCCCAGCAAATGGTTTCTACATTGGCATCCTCTATGAGTTCAGGTATTTTAGCTTTTCCTGAGAAAGCCATGACATCATGCTGAGACTTGTTTCCCTATCTGATGTTGCCCCTATTGAGGATGATCAGTATTCATCATTCTCTGATAGCATCAAGGGCATCCTTGGTGCTAATGGTTTCTTTTTATGGGAACCCCACCAATTCTTTAGATACTGGCCCTTCCTTCTTGATCAGTTCTCCTGCTCCAATCTCTCCTCATCCACTAACCTTGATCAGCAGTTACTTGCAAAGAGAGTGCTTCCCCCCTCTTCAATTTCACCATCCTCCTTGAGGTTAGTATTGATCCTGAGGATCATCCCTCTATAGGACCCTCTAGGAGGGTAGGTCTTGGACTCTCTTGGTCTTAGCATTATGCCTCCATTCTCTTTCTCCTTCCACTCACTCAGCATATTGTTGGAATTTATTATAAAAGTCCAGATTAAGGAAGAGGGTGATGAGTTTCTTGTGCAAGAACCCTTGAAGAGCTCGATTGCTGATTTAGAGTCTTTGTAGTGTTTGGATTCCATGCTGGTCAGATAAGGAGTCAACATTGGTCAGGAAGCCATTGCTTCCTGTATTGTCAGTGTCTAATGACTCTGACCAACTATCCTTACTGTCTCTGAGACTGTTGTCCCATCAGTCATCTGTATTCCATTCAGTATCTGCTGGCTATTTTTGGCTTCAGATCAGTAAGAGTTTGCCTCTAGATAGGAGCCCTCCAGTGCCTGTTCCTCCTTCTTTAATTGATCAACCATCAGTACTTCAATTCTGATTATCCTCTGGCTGGTCCCAATGATCTGAGAAATAGAGGTTGTCTTCAGGATTTTCATCTCATTCTGTATCTGGGGGCCACTTTCAGTGTTCCTGAGCTCTTGGAGCAGAGCCCCCTTCTGCTGGTTGGCTAATTCCAGCCAATTGTCGATGGTGCTCATCAAGCTCACTTCTCCACTGCTGGCTAAGCTCAGCCTCCTCTTTTTCCACCAGTTCATCAGTGGAGTTGGGGTTGGGGGTTGAGAGGCATAGAGAATAGAGGTGGGATTCTCTCTTCTTTTGGAGAGGACCTGGTTGGCCCATGCTTTCAGACCTCTCTCTGGATCTGAGCTGGGTGATTTGAGTCTCAGTATTGAGACTGTCAAGAAATTAGTTAAAAGTGACATTGAGAATTTGATATTCTCTGATTATCTTGGTTGTGAGAGTTCCTAAAAGAAGAGTCAGCAATTCAATAGAGGAAGAGGATACTTCAGAGTTGATAGAGCTGATAGAAGGCATTTGGTTTCTTGTGCTTTGATAGCTATCAAGAAAGGGAAGCTAGAAGCATTAAGCTAATTGTTAAGCCCAAATTTCATGTGACTATCAA